CAGAAGTTGCCTTCAGAAAATGTGGGAGTTTCATCACTGGAAGCTTTCAAGAAGAGATTGGACTGCCATTTTTCAGAAATGGTGTAGTCTCCTACTTAGGGAGGGGGGGTGGACTAGATGACCTACCAGGTCCCTTCCAACTCTGTTCATCTGTTAAACACGACCCAAAACAAATTTACCCATATTCTGGAATTTGAAAACACTCTCCAAACATTTTTCAAAGCTTTTGAACGCAGACTATGTCCATTCCGGTCACTTCTAACAGTTTTGCAGGGATTTGCCTACCCAGTTTGTGCATTTTTATTTATTAAATTTATACCCTGCTCGCCTCGCTATCCAAAGTCTTCTCTACCACAGCAACCAGAAAGGCAAGTGACAAGAAGCAGAGCCTCTGTAGAAATGCAGCATTTTCTCCCGGAAATGAATTTGATTACAACAACTGTGATGCTGAGGACTTCTGAAGGAGATTAAAAATTCACCACCCCAATCAATTATTCAATTGATACAGAGCTCAGCTTAGCTTAGGTGCCCGAGAAGCTCTGTAAAAATAGATCCAAGGGGTTGCTTCCTGCACATCATGCACAAAGTGATTATACCAACACTCCCAAATACACTGGGAATATCCAGAATGCCGGAGCAAGCAGAAAAACTAAAATTAAGGCCAGGAGAAATATAGCGGTTCCTGATGATCTGATAAACTCTAAGTGAACTATGGTTTCCTGTGTTTCATAAAATCTGTCACACCTGACTGGCCTCCGCTGAACTGCATCGACTTGTATATCCTCATCAGTGGTGGGATTCAAATTTTTTTTACTACCATTCTGTGGGCGTGGCTTGGTGGGCGTGGCAGGGGAAGGAAATTGCAAAATCCCCATTCCCTCCCCACCCCACTAACCTGCTTTCCAGCTCCGTTCTCCTGTGCAGGGCAACCAAAGAAGACCCAGCCGATCAGCTGGGACTCAATGGGAGGCAAAGAATAGATGGGGGTGGGGGCAGTCAGAGGTGGTAATTGCCGGTTCTCCGAAATACTCAAAATATCTACTACCGGTTCTCCGGAACTGGTCAGAACCTGTTGAATACCACCTCTGACCCTCATCCGGAAGGACAGAAATAATAATTTGGGCCTCATCCAAGATTCCTGACCTGGTTTTGTTTTTTGTAAAAAAAAAGAAAACAAGATTATTTAGTTGGTTACTGAAAGGAATCCTATGCTGCTGTAGGTGCAGAGACAGCCAGTTTGGTGTAGTGGTTAATGAAACAGGTTAAAAAACCAGGAGACTGTGAGTTCTAGTCCTACCTGGACAGAGGTGGTATTCAGCAGGTTCTGACCAGTTCTAGCAGAAATTTTGAGTAGTCTGGAGAACCAGCAAATCAGACCTCTGACTGGCCCTGCCCCCATCTCTTCTCTGCCTCCCATTGAGTCCCAGCTGATCGGCTGGGTCTCCTTTTGTTGCCCCGCAAAGGAGAACGGAGCTGGAAAGCAGGTTAGTGGGTGGGGAGGGGATGGAGATTTTAGAGTATCCTTCCCCTGCCACGCCCACCAACCTACGCCTACCAAGCCACGCCATGCCCAACAAGCCACACCCACAGAACCCATAGTAAAAAAACATTGAATCCCACCACTGGTCCTACCTGAGACATGAAAGTCAACTGGGTGACTTTGGACTTTGGAGAAGATGGTGAGTTCTAGTCCTGGTTTAGACATGAATGCCTATTGGATGGTTTTGGGCCAATCACTAAGAGAGTTTGAATTCTAGACCTGCCTTAAGAATAAAAACCCAGTTGGGCGACTGTGGGCCAGTTACACTCTCTCTCTCTCTCTCCCTCTCTCTCTCTCTCTCTCTCACTGCCCAATCTTTTGCTACAAGAACCTCCATCCTAGCAAGGCATAGCAACACCGACTCCGTTTTGTGCACATATTCATAATGCAGTTAGTCCTCAACTTTCAGCGGTTCATTTAGTGACCGTCCAAAGTTACAACGGCACTGAAAAAGTGACTTATGACTGTTTTTACACTTACAACCATTGCAGCATCCTCCTGGTCACATGATCAAAATTCAGGTGTTTGACAACTGACTCATATTTATGACGGTTGCAGTATCCAGGGGTCACTTTTGCGACCGTCTGACAATCAAAGTCAGTGGGGAAGACGGATTCACTTAACAGCCATGTTACTAAATTAACAACTGCAGTGATTCACTTAACAACTGTAGCAAGAAAGGTCATAACAACTCATTTAACAACTGTCTCATTTTGCAACATAAATTCTGGGCTCAGTTGTGGCCGTAAGTCGAGGACTAGCTGCATTTTCCTGGAGTTTATTCTCACACTCTCTGAGCCAAACTTCTAAAGCAGGGGTCTTCAAACTTGATAGCTTTAAGATTTGTGGACTTCAACTCCCAGAATTCCTCCTCCAGTCATGTTAGCTCAGGAATTCTGGGAGTTAAAGTCCACAAGTCTTAAACTTGCCAAGTTTGAAGGCCCTTGCTCTAAAGCGTTTTTTTTTTTTAACGAGAACTGACAGAGAAAACCACAAGACATTATTATCTCTGCTCGGCCTTATAAAACCCCAACCAAGACCCTGTTTGTTTGTTTCTTTTAATTTTCTTAGAGGCACCTACTGCAATTTTCAAACTTCAACCTTAACAATACAAGAGCAAACAACAGATACAAACTCAAGGTAAACCGCACCAAACTTGATTGCAGGAAATACGACTTCAGCAACAGAGTGAGTGGTCAATGCATGGAATACCCTACCTGATTCTGTGGTTTCTTCCCCGGACCCCAAAAACTTTAAACTTAGACTGTCTACTATTGACCTCACCCCTTTCCTAAGAGGTCTGTAGGGGCCGTGCATAAGTCTAACCCTATTCTGGCTTGTACTTGATCTTCATTCTTCCAGGTAACCAGACGCTTCCCATAATACCCAGGTACCATCTATTCTGTACTCTTTCATCTGTTTTTTTTTCCAACCTAAGGATGAAATGGAGTCTTTACACTCTTAGTCCAACATAACCGCCATAAACCAATAAACCTCCCTCCTTCTATTTTCACAACAACAACCCTGTGAGGTGGATTGGTCTGAGAGAGTGTGACTGGCCTCAAATCACCAAACCAGCTTTCATGCCTACCTAAGGCAGGACTAGAAATCACAGTCTTCTGGTGATGGGCCCAACATCACCCAGCCAGCTTTCATGCCTAAGGTGGGACTAGAACTTACCGTCTCCCGGTGATTGGCTCAAACTCACCCAAGGCTTCTATGACTTAAGGCAGAACTAGAACTTACCGTCTCCTGGTGATTGGCCCAAGAATTACCGTCCCTTGATGATTGGTCCAAAGTTACCCAGTTGGCTTTCATGTCTAAGAGTGGATTAGAACTCACTCTCACCTAGTTTCTAAACCAGCACCTTAACCACTACATCAAACTTACTCTCGAATAAGTGTTGTGATGTTGTTCATTTTATTTCATTGTCACTTCTTGGAAGTTTTTCTATTTTGTTTCTAGTTTCTAATTTTTTTTAATTTTTTCTAACCTTCCTGATTTGGTCTCCTATCCAATACTAATCAGGCCTGAAATTTTCTCATTCCACAAAAGAAATAATTTGCAAATGTCCAATATCACCATCTCAATCAAGTACAACCATTTCTATAGTCAGCTAAGTTTTCTTAATGCAGTTGAGTCATTCAACCTAATTTATATCTATGGCTGCTTTCCCTAATCTTGTTTTCTTCACATGAGAAGGTGTGTCTTCCCAAAATTCCTTCTCAGCATAATCCAGGGAATTCTGGGGATTGTAGTTCCAATATATCTGGAAGACACATACTAGGGAAGGCTGCTTTATTTTGTGATCACCATTCTCTCTGGAGATTATTTTCACAAAGAATTAAAAACCATGTTCTCCATGTGTTCTGCTCCCCATTTAAATTTTGGTTAGAAACTGAAATTATTTAGTCACTCTGAACTTTAGCGACTTTAAGATGAGTGGACTTCAACTCCCAGAATTCCCAACACGGCTGACTGGGGAATTCTGGGAGTTGAAGTCCACTCATCTTAAAGTTGCCAAGGTTCAAAAACAACAAAAGGTTCAAAAACTCTACGATGTTCAAGAAAGGAATCTACATTTGCAGAAAGGATGTTCCACAATTCATTTTCCACATCATGGACAAAAAAAAAGAGCACAGGTCAAAATGCTAGACGATATAGGAAGAGAAAAGTCATGGGGGGAAAATGGAAAAAAGGGGTTGTTTATTATTATTATTATTTTACCTACTTTTCAAGGCCAGCCTTTCAGACCGTCTTCAGGTTCCTGACATGGCAATTGTCAGAAAACAATACCCACCGAGAACAGGTGCAGAAAAATAAAGACGATGGCCAACGGAGAAACATAAATGTGCAAGAAAAGAAAAAGAAATTAATATAAACCAATATAAGCAATGGAGAAATAAATCTAAATCTAGCATTTGAAAACAAAAAGTGACTTCTAGAAAGAGAGCTTCCCAGTTGAGTTTTAAAAACAAAAACACAATGAGAACAAAACATTTTGGCAAACGTAACGAAAAATAAGCAAGATGGATAGAAATGCAGGTAGTCCTTGGCTCACGACCACAATTGAGCCCAAATTTTCTGACCAAAGGAGTTGTTAAGTGAGCTTTGCCCCACTTTACAACCTGTCTTGCCGCAGTTGTTAAGTGAATCACTGTAGTTGTTCAGTGAGTAACACAATAGTTGAGTGAATCTGGCTTCCCTATGGACTTTGCTTGCCAGAAGATCGCAAAAGGAGATCACATGACCAAGAGACACTGCAGCCATCATAAATATCAGTTACAAACATCTGGATTTTGATCATGTGACTGTGGGGATGTTGCAAAAATCATAAGTGTGAAAAACACTCATCCGTCACTTTCTTTAGTGCTATTGTAATTTTGAACGAACTCTAAACAAATGGTTGTAAGCCAAGGACTACTTGTAGAGGAATCATGGACCTGGATGAAATGCTTACCTGTACATGGGAACGGTGACGGTCCGTTCGTAGTAATTCCAGGTAGAGTGCAAATCGGTTCGAGTGAGGTTAGTGGCGTAGAACCTCCAGGCAGCCTGAAAGAATATAAGGAAGGAGAGGCAGATGTGATTTCAAACAAATGAAACAAGCAAGTAATGAAGTTAAACTTGGTGGTGGCCCAGTGCTGAGAATGCAGTATTGCAGGCTAATTCTGCCCACTGCTGACTGCCAGTAGAAAGTTCGATCCTGACCAGCTCAAGTTTGACTCGGCCTTCCATCCTTCTGAGGTCAGTAAAATGAGGACCCTGATTGTTGAGGGCTATAGGCTGAGTCTGAAAATTGCTTTGAGAGAGCTGTAAAGCACTGTGAAGTGGTATATAAATCTAAATGCTAATTCTATTCTATTCTTATTTCTATTCTGTTTCTATTCCTATTCTTATTTTTATTCTATTCTATTTCTATTCTTATTTCTATTCCATTCCCATTCTGTTCCATGCCATATTGCAGGCTAACTCTGCCCACAATCTGTAGTTCAATTCTGACCGGTTCAAGGTTAACTAAGCCTTCCATTCTTCCCAGGTTGGTAAAATGAAGACCCAGATTGTTTGTTGAGGGCTGACTCTGTAAACCGCTTAGAGAGGGCTGTAAAGGCGCTGTGAAGTGGTATATAAGTAAGTACTATTGCTATTGCTAACTTAGATTTTGCAGGGGACAAACTACTTTGTCGTTATCTTTGATATATGGGTAGTCCTCAACTTACCACAACTGATGGCCAGAATTTATGTTGTTAAGCAATCTGGCTGTTAAGTGAGTTATAGGCTGGCTGGGGAATTCTGGAAGTCCGCAAGTCTTAAATTGCCAAGATCGGAGAGCCCTGCTCAAAGAAGGTTTTACAGCATGAATCGATTCTCTTCCAGCACCTTCTTGATCCATTTCTATCTCCTAGGAGATCCAGCCTTTCCTGAGCCCTCCCCACTTTCTCTCCACTCACCTGAATTAAACCAGCTGCAGGGTTTCTTCTTTTTTCAAAGTGCTTCTGACGATGCTGCTCTTGAACCTTCAAGGCAAAGCCGGAACCTAGAATTCCCTGAAAATTACATTAACAGAATTAACAGAATAATAGAGTTGGAAGAGACCTTAGAGGCCTTCTAGCCCAGCCTCCTACTCAAGCCCCTATACCATTTCAGACAAGTGGTTGTCCAATCTCTTTTTAAAAACCTCCAGTGAGGTTTTAAACCTACAAACCACAACTTCTAAAGGCAAGCCGTTCTACTGATGAATTGCTTTTACTGTCAGGAAATTCCTCCTGAATTCTGGGTGCTTCTCTCCTTGATTAGTTTCCATCCATTGTTTCTTGTTCTTCCTTCAGGTGGTTTGGACAATAGCTTGTCTCCCTCTTCTTTGGGACAGCCCCTCAAATATTGGAACACTGCTTTCAGGTCTCCCCTGGTCCTTCTATTTGGCTTGTTGGAAGGCTGTACATGGCTGTACATGTTGTGGTTCGCCGGCAGCCTGTGCAGACGGCAGCAGAATCGGGCAGTGGGGAAGAACAGGGACTAGTCCTGGAGTCTGGGGAGGACTCGGACGAGGGTCCTGCGTCTGATTCAGAGATAGGGCCAGGGACATCTGGGAGTTATGTACTGACTCCGGAGCCTCCAGAATCTGACAGCAGCGAGGCAGAGGAACAAGGGGAGCCTGTTCCCAGGGTACATATGCGCAGAGCTGCCAGAAGACAAGAACAGCTAAGACAAAAGGGGTGACTCAGGAGTAAGGCTTGGAGGTGATTGCCCCTCCCATAAGGTATAAAGGAAGTGCAAAGGTAGGAAAACCTCTGCAGGAAGCAATGTTGTTCGCTCTGATCAGTTTGGACTCTGAAAGCTCCATGTTGAATTTGTTCTCCATTTTGGAAAGATTAATAGGGACTTTAATCATTGGCAGCACTTCAAGTCAGATAAGGTGTGTTCTTATCAGATGTCTTACAAAGAACTTTGGCAGACGTCCCTGGGAATAATTATAACTGGTTAAGACTTATTCCGAGCTATGAATGACCATAATTCACAGCCATTGAACTAAAATAAAAGAGTTTTGGATTTTATATGTGTTTGTTGGGGTGTCTCAGGAAGCCTTAATCAGAACAATGCATGCCAGTTGCCAAGGGCCCACATTTTGACCAAGTGACCACAGGGGTGCTGCTATAACTGCCACTGGAACCTGGAACTGTCACAAAATGAGGGTCACAAATGACTGTGGGATACTGAAACCTTCATCAATGTGCGATGGTTGCCAGGTGCTTCAATTACATTCACATGTCCATGGGGACGAAACAAACAAAATGTTTAAAAGTTATGATGTTTAGGTAGCTATTTACCAAGCACATCTAAATTACACTGAAGTCACCAAAACATCTTTACAACCCTCAAAGCACATCGCAACTTTTGAGCAGCCCTCATTGTTTGGAAAGTGAAAGTTGACAAATTTGGCCTACCCTAATGGGGGACTCAGAGTTGCTCGTAATGTTGAGGACCAGTCGGGTCACTTTTTTTCAGCTGCGTTGTAACTTCGAACAGTCACTAAACAAATGTTGGTAAGTCAAGGACTATCTTTAGACACGTTCAGTTTCATCACCCAGCAAGGAAGTTGCTTCGCCCAATGAAAATGGGGTGTTTTAAGCTTGCAAACTATTCAGAGGCCAGAGGCAATGTGGATGCTTTCCATCCTAAGTAAGCCACAGCACTGGATATGGTTTGGCTTTCTTTCCAAGGAAAGGGGGCTGCAGAGGACTTTA